ATATATGCATATAATTAATCCTTCCTTGGAAATAGTTGTTTATTATTCTATATAAAGATCTATTCTCACCGATTTTTTTTTTTTGATTAGAAATTTCCCCACTGCACTCCTAAGGAGGGTGCCAGAGTCTCTATAGAGGGTTTGGGACCGCATATTGGGGCAGAAACACACAAAGCAGGACCTTTGCATCCAGGGGTTGCAGGCCAAGCTCCGCCCCTAGCGTGCGGCTGCCAATCAGCTCCCGGGACGGCCCTCTCCTCTCCCCGTCTGCGGCGCTGCCCACCTCCCCGCTGCAGGCCTCCCACCACTCTTTCCACCGCTAATTTTCGAGTCCCCGGGCCGTCTGCCCCCTCTCCTGGCCCCATCCGCTACGGAAAACGCCCTCCCTCCTCTCAAATAGTCGGGTGTGGAAATTGCTGGACCAACGGTGAGTCTTGTGCAAAGATGGTTTCTGGAACGGGAGCAGGCCCGAGCGCACCCATCGAATTAGGGGCAGCTCGGGGCGCAGTTCACGGCGGCCCTGGTGGGAGAGAGGCACCGGGCCGAGTCCCGGGCGCAGCGGCCGGGCGCCCGCGGAGCTGCGAGGGTGGGCGGGTTCCAGGACCGGGAGCGCCGGGCCCAGCAGGCAGGGGTCTTTCAAGAAGGGTGCCTTGAGGCTTTCCACCTCTGCTCTTTCTGCTCTTTTCTGCCATTCTGGCTCTTAGTTATTTCGTGCTGAACTTCTTTCCTCCCGGACCCAACCACCAAGAGACTAATACATCTCGCCCCTTTTTAGACATCTTCTTTTTTTCATTTTAAAGCTGCGTACAGAAAATAATATATCAGATGCCAACATTTTTACCACATTTCTTCAGCACTCCGCCCTCCCCTCCCTAAATAAGCAGTTAAAACCCTTTTTCTAACCCTTTTTCCGGCGCCAGCCTCAGAGGTTAAGTTGGATTGTATCTTTCCAGGGTACATTTTTGTCCTTTGTTATTTTTATGTAATGTCTGCACCTTTATTCTGAATTTAGTATTTCTTTCATGAAACTCATCGCGAGGTTTTAACCTGCCCTACTATTAGTCCTGACATTTCAGATCCGGAAGGGACTTGGCATGTCCACAGCCCTTCTCATTTAGCTGAGAAACCTGAAGCCTGGAGAAGGTAAAGGACAAGCCTACTGAATTGAAGCCCTAAAATAAATCTATAATATAGATCTTAGTTTTATCCCCATTTTGCAGAGAATCAAACTGAGGCACAATGGAATTAGGTAGCTTGTTCAGTCACACAGCTGGTGGCACTGAGATTTGAATCCAGTCCATCATCTGACATTCTGAGTATCTAACCATTATACAATCCCATATTTCACATGCTAGAGCTGGCACCTGTAACAGAGGTGAAGTCACCACATAGACAGGTGTGGTCTGCCAGGACAAGCAATTCAAAGAGGGGAGAGCAACTGTCAAATGATTTATCAGAGAGGAAAGAACTGTACATTAATATGTTTTAGCTACCCATTGTTTGACAAACGGATTTTGACAATAGGTATTTTTTATGCGTTACGAAAGTAATGCATGTAACAATACAATCAATGCAGAATTATGTAAAAAGTTGCCTTTCTCCTATTTCTCAGGCTAAAAATTATTAACTGGTAAACATGTATCCTTCCCCGCCATAATACGAATATATACATAGTTTCCTTTTTCCCATTGTAAAATCCAAAGCGTATTTAACAATTTGTACATTTGTATTTTTCCTTTTCCAATGTGTCAAGGTGCATTCCCCCAATACTAGATTTAAACTCTTAGTAAGAATTGTAGTTCGTAGAGCGTAGGTCCCATAATTTGTCCATCTTTTTTCCTAATAAATAGAAATAAACTAGAGAAGTTTGTCTTTAATAAAAACGGCCGTCCTCGCTCCTAGGATGGGACCGCTGGGCGTCCCTAATCTGCCGCAATGCCGAGCCGCCAGGCCCGGCGACACAAAGAAGCGCTGTCCCCTGCCAAGCGCCGCCCCCTTGGTCTCCCACTCCTGCCGGGGAGGAAGTGGGGAGGAGGAGACTCGTCGGGAGCCGCTCCTCCCCTCCCACTCCGATCTCCTGGATCAGGATCCCAGCTCACGGATCGTTCGTGCGGTCAGTGCTCTGCAGGGAAGCCCCTTCCCCTCCGAACCTGAGTCCCTCTAAGCGCCAGGCCCTGCCCCCTCCCAGCTGTGGAAACTGCAGGGTGACCTGGTGAGTGGGCCCATCGGAAAGCCTCGCGGGCCGGGGAAGGGGCTGGTGGCGGTGGCCTCCGCCCGGGTGATGAAGGCGGACGAGGCCGGAGGACCGGGGGCCGCGCTGGGGTAGCTGGCCGACCTACAGAGGCGCGCGGGGGCCCGGGTGTGCCCTAGTCGGGACGGAGGCTCCCGGCGCTGAGGGTCCCTGTTTCTGGGGGCGATTTTCCCTGCTCTCGGCTGTGCACCCCGTGCCGCAGTGCCCCGCTCCGCGGGTTCTGACATTGATGTTGGCGTGCGCCTGCTTTGTGTGGTTGACTTCAGACAGGCCTGGCACCGAACGGGCTTTACGCGTTGAGAATACCTGGAGAATGCCGAAGGCCAGGGTGGAGGCAGGGCTTGCTCAGGACCACACAGGTAGCTGGTGATGGAGCATCATCCTGCCCTACTGCGCTTTGACCTTTGCAAACAAGGTCTCTAAGACTGAGATCTTTCACCCGCTTGAAATGTCCCCTGGAGACTGGTGTGTGGGAGGGTGGGGCGGAGGAGGGGATCCTGGTGAGATACCCCACCTCATGCACAGACTGCGGTGTCCCCTGCCTGGAGAATTCTCTGCCAACCCAGCGCTACCCTCCTCCCCGGCTGGCCGCCCCCCACCCCCGCCCCCGCCCCAGGCCCCCTCTGCTCCACTTCTGACGTCACCCACTCGCTCTGTGCAGACTGGCTCTGGGCCTGGGAGCTAAGGAGGGGAGAGGGGAGCCGGCACCGGACTCCAAGCTTATTACTGACAGCCTTTGGGAGATCTGGAGGACCTTTCTCACACATTGTTCCTTTGAAAGAAATCCTGTGAGGCTAGCAGACCAACGCGTAGGAAAAATGGAGAGAGATGGAGACCAGCAGGGAGAGAGCGGGGGAGGGAGAGATTGCGCGCTAGCGAGTGCGCGGGGGCGGGGGAGGGGGCGGGGGCAAAAAAAAAAAAATAGGAAAGGAGGAAAGAAAGAAAAGGGTCTTCTTGCTGTGAGCAAGGGCTCCTCGATTATGTAGCTCTCCTGAAAGTCACCCAGCGGAAGTGAGCAAATATGAGTGAAAGACAGGGAGTAAGGGAAATAGAAAAAAGAGAAGTTTTGAAGATTTACTACTATGGTAGTGGGGAAGGATTGAATGAGGAGGCCCACTAGAGAGGTTTCAGAGATACTAACAAAGGTATGGGGGGGGGGGGGTGCGTTTTTTATTTTTAAGCAGCATGGTAAGTATATGCAATTTTACTTAATTTTAAAATTTTTAAATTATTATTATTTGAACTTCTCTATCCTTCCATGAACATTCCATATTTTATATGCATGAATTAAACAAAAAGAAATTTCAAGTTAAAATTAAATAAGATTTAGCTCCAATTCTGGCTTAGTCGAAGTTCATGGACAGTGAAAAAGATATAAGGTTTATAAGGAAAAAGAAATAAAGGTTTATAGAAGAAAATGGCATGAAGAAGAAAAAACAAAGAATTGTGTGTGTGTGTGTGTGTGTGTGTGTGTGTGTGTGTGCTGTTAATGAGTTTTGAAGTTCAAGCTGTTTACTGAAGAAGTGGTCCTGTGATTGCCCTTACCTTCAAATCCATCATTCAATCACCCATCCACAGAATACCTGTTCATTCTCCTGGAGAATTCAAAGAATAAACTGCGTTTTATGACCTCAGACACTGTGCATATCAGTATCTAAAATCAACTACAGTAAAGGGCTTAGCCCCATCTTCCCTTCCATACATTTCTCACAGGGAAAACCCTGTTTGCATCCTGTGGAGTACTTTATGGTAGGAGTAGAAAATCTGTTCTCTCCCTGAGTTACAGGTTTCCCTGGGTGTCTTTTGCTTTGGACAGCAGCTTCAATTGTAGCAAGCTAGAAGGGGCAAAAGTGGACCCAGAGGAGAGAAAGCAGAAGCTAGGTCACTCCCCCTGGGAGAACAAACAAGAATTCAGGCACAAAGACAGAGCGTTTGGTTCAAAACCAAATGTTATGTTCACTGATAGCTGGTTAAAGTAAGAACAAAACTGGCTACAGAGTTCAAGGAACCCTCAGAGAAGAGGGAATCAGAGATACATGTGGGCAGATGGACAACCAGACAGGAGGCAAAAGAAGACTTTTAGGGCCAGTAAGATAGGATCACTTGATCAATCTACCTAATCTTTTACATACTTAGTCATTTAATATATGTTTACTTGCTTGGTTGAACTTATATTATCTCAGTATTCTTTGTACTTGTAATAATAACATATACAGCATTTCAAAAGATTCAGACTTGTATAAAGATGAAAAAAACTATTCACTTTTTCCCTTCCTAATGTGGTCAAGGGTAGCACATTCAAATGTGGCCACCATAAATTTTCTCTGTATGTAAAAACACAACACTCAAGGAATGCTTCTATCCTCTTGGTCCACTTCATTTCCATTTGGTTCTTCATTTTTCTGTCTATATTTGTAGTTTCATGTGGCAGTAGCACCTTGAGCATTTGTCTTCAATGCTGTCAATTTCTGTAAAAACTTTCTAGAAGAGGAATCGCTATGTTGAAGAATAGGTTCGCCTTTGAGTACAAGTTGCCACTGTCAGTCACTTTCAAGAGTGCCGACATTCTTGGTCATTGCTCAGATAGCTATAGTGTCCCCAGATCCCTTCCACCAGTATACATTGTTAGTAGCCCTCATCTTCTTCACCTTCTTTTCTGTGTCTCCTTCTCTTTCTCCTAGTTTTTTTTTTTTTAATCTATCTAATTATTTATTGACAATCTCAAGGATAATATGCAGTATATCTTTCATTGCTTGATTAGTGATATTGAGCACTGCTTCATAGACGGGTCATTTAAATTTTGTCCTCTAGGCACACATTCACTTAGAAAGGTGGTATTTCTGTAGATAGAAGGATGTGGGAGAGGGGACGGGAAGGAAGGAGAATGGAAAGAGAATCTGAAATGGAAGCAGGCCCTGTCCAGGGGCGCCAGACAGTCTGGAAGCTACAGGAGCAGGGACAGGAGATAAAGCTGGAAAACTTAAGGAGTTGCCAGCTGCCGTGGCCTCCCAGACCAGGAGAAGGGAGTCAGATTTTCCCCTGTGGACACCAGAGAAGTCCTGTGGTTTTTCCTTCAGGTCAATGATATGATTAGATGGGGTTTAAAAGAATGAAGTAGGAACAGATCCTAGTGAAGTAGAAGCTGGATTGGTTTATTCCAGACGTGAATCAGTGAGGACCTGAACTAGGCTAATGGCAGTATGCTCAGAAAGGACGTTGATAGGATATTGACCTGCTGGATTTGAGAAGGACAGGAAGAAGGGACATTCTGTGCTCTGTGGTTTACTCTCCTGATCATTTGTGGGCCCAGGATGGGCAGGGAAGGGGAAAGCTTCTTATTAACCCTGTGTTGATTGGCCATATCTTCACAGTAGTTCTTTGAGATAGGAAGGTAGTTGATGCTTGTGAAACTTAGAACAGCTATTGTTGAGAGAAATAATAAATTTGACTTCTTTAGTGTTGAAGACCAGTGATAAATGGCTATGGAGTGCATTCATTCTGGGTCTTGAACTTATTAGTCACCTTGAGACCAAGGCCGTTTTATCCATGGCTGTGGAAGACACTGTGCCCAGGCCAAGGACTTGTTGAGGACCTATCAAGACACTTGGGAAATAAACATGAGAATCATTAGCACCAGCGTTAACATTAGTCTTAATATGAACTGAAACCCAGGAAAACTATAAGATCAGAATCAATAAAAATTTGTTGTTTGTAAAACCTAACATTATTTTTTTACTTTACAAAAATCCCCTATTATTCATATACTTGAATGATTTACTCTTAACCAAGTGGTCTATATATATGGAAATGTTATGGGAAAGGGTGTTTGACCTTTGTTTTTCCTTTAATCCTCAGGAAAACCTTATGTGATTATGGGATCATTCCTACATAATGAATGCAGAGACTATGTCTGAGTTCTGTTGCTGGGGTCTCACAGTTGATAATACATGAAACATAAATCCAGACAGCCTTAACTCCTGAGCTTGTCATCATTTTGCACATTACCTTGAAAGTCACTGTTACGGTTTAAATGGGTCCTTCAGTGTTGGTGTGTTGTAATCTTAATTGCCAGTGGCTCTGCCCTTGGGAGTAGATCAATGCCATTATCAAGGTAGTGGATCATGGAATTGTCCCGGCAGTGGGTCTCTGATAAAACGATGACTTCAATCCCCTTCCTCACTCTTTCACACGTGTTCTCTGCCCTTCTGCCTTCCAGATGGGATAATGCGGCATGAAGGCCCTCTCCAGATGTGGGCCTCTCAATCTTGCACTTCCCAACCTCTATGATTCTAAGAAACAGATCGTTGTTCTTTATAAATTTTCAGCCTCAGGTGTTCTGTTATAGGTGCACAAAATGGATCAAGACAGGCAGCATATTCTCTGATAAGAGACATAAAAAGAGTAGAATAAAGATGAAAACAAAGACAAACAAACAAAAAATACCTTAGGACTCACATATACCAAGAAGAGATAAAGGAGAGAAAGTTAAGTGGTCTTAGGGCTTGAAGATAAAAAGAGGCTGCCTGGGCCACGCTTAGGGTATGGTGAGCCTCATGGATAGGAAGAGCCGCCGTGTGCACTGCCACTGAGTGGTCAGTGAAGACATGAAGCCCGAGGTGTCCTGATAATGGAGGCATCTGGTTTTGGAGGTCAGTCTCAATCAAGTGCATGCAGCAGAAGTCAGACTGTTGACCATCCTGGAGGCAGAGCTCATGGTGAAGAAGCCGAGGACACTATGTTCACATCCACAGACACTTACTTCCCTCAGCTGTGTCCCAGTGCAAGTAAAAATCTGTCATCATTTCAGAACGTGTTGTTCCTGGCTGTCTGGGGCTTGCATTGAAGCCCCAGAGGGCTTCTGCTTCCCGCTGATGCAGCCTGAGACTTTGCCCAATGAACAGCTTTCTCTAGGAGCCCAGACTGTTCATACTTCAGTTATAACTTCACCGAGCTGAGATTAATAAAATCAGGGTGGGGGCCAAGAAAGCAGAATGGGCATCTGGGGACAGCATGTGGCACCAGGGTATTAGTCCCAGAGGCTGCCATATCAGATGACAACAAATAGGCTGGCTTAAAGTGAAAGGATTTTATTCACTCACACTTATGAGTTCAGATCCAGGGTCAGCAGTGTGGGTTCCTTTTAGGTCTGGGTTTTGCCCGCAGTCCTTGTTATTCCATGCCTTGTAGACACATCACTCCACCCTACGCCTCCCTCTCCTCAGCATCCTTCCCTGTTATCTTCATCAGTCTGTGACCAAATTTCCTCTTTGTATAATATCGGTTATTGGACAAGGCCCACCTTAATCCAGTATGACCTCATCTTACTGTGGTTATGTGATTACACCTGCAGAAGCCTATTTCCAAATAAAGTCACATCCATAGATACAAAGAAGTAGGATCTCAAAATACCTCTTTGAGGAACACAGTTCCACCTTCATCCCTCCTTTTTTGTTGTTGTTATTGTTGTTTTGTTTTATGGTAGAAAAGTGTCAGACTCTCCAATCCTGACCATAAGAGTCTAAAGAGGACGGGACACAGGGGTTCCCCTGGACAGCAGACACTCAGAGCTCGAGTCCCTTGGTGGTTGGAATAGACTCATCCTCAGGGTTGGGAGAATTGCCCCAGTTAGTAGAAGAGAGAACGCTCTGCTGGTTTTTGTTTGTTTGCGTGTTTACCCATTCTCCACCAAGCTGAGCCTTTGTTTTCTTCTCTGCAGAAACCAACAGAGCCATGGCGACTCCCTCTGCTGCCTTTGAGGCCCTTATGAATGGAGTCACAAGTTGGGATCTCCCTGAAGATGCCGTCCCATGTGAACTGCTGCTTATTGGAGAGGCCTCCTTTCCCGTGATGGTGAATGACATGGGCCAGGTCCTCATTGCTGCCTCCTCCTATGGTCGAGGCCGCCTCGTGGTCCTGTCCCATGAGGACTACTTGGTGGAAGCCCAGCTCACCCCCTTTCTCCTCAACGCTGTGGGGTGGCTTTGCTCTTCCCCTGGGTCTCCCGTTGGTGTGCACCCATCACTGGCACCTTTGCTCAAAATCCTCGAGGGCTCTGGAGTGGAGGCAAAGATTGAGCCAGAGGTGAATGACTCCCTGGGAGTTTACTGTATCGATGCCTACAACGAAACCATGACTGAAAAGCTGGTCCAGTTCATGAAGAGAGGAGGGGGCTTGCTCATGGGAGGCCAAGCCTGGGATTGGGCCAACCAGGGCGATGATGAAAGGGTTCTGTTCACGTTCCCTGGGAACCTGGTGACCAGCGTGGCTGGGGTATACTTCACTGACAATAAAGGGGACACAAGTTTCTTTAAAGTCTCCAAGAAGATGCCCAAGATCCCAGTCTTAGTGAGGTGAGTACCTTACCCCAGAGTGGAGTTGGCCTCAAGTTAAGAAGCAGATGTGGCTCTTATCTTCTGGGTGCCTCCAGCCTCATGGAAGAAAATCGGGTTACTCAGATGTGGATCCACATCGCCACATCCACCAACCCCAGCTCAGTTTTTAAAACAGTCCTTGTCATGGGAGGGACAAGGTCCTCAATGCTTCTACCTTCCCAGGCCAGACCACTTAGATGTTTGATGGGAGGAACTCTGTATTGGCCAATATATCCCCCAGGGTCCAGGTTACCAGCCCCTGGAGTCCTCCATAAATTTATGGAGGACTTAACCCAGGAAGGCTCATGGGAGAAGGTGTCCTTCAGTGGAAATGTGAGGAAAAGGAAAATGGGAAGGACCCTATAGGCCAAAGTCTAGAGAGCAGTAGGAAGGGTGGAAATGGGAAGTCAGATGTGCTTAGGATGGAAATAGGAAGTGAGGATTCAGAAGTGAGGACAGAAAAAATGATGGTACAGTATGCTAAGTGTTGAACTTAGGAAGGAATTTTACCTCTGAGGGCGAAGGCCCAGGTAATGGAGAATGCAGGTGGGGGTGCAGTGTGGAGAACACCGCCCAGCCTGTGCTGCTCACAGACGGTGCTGAACACATTACAGATTCACTGGTGCTCACACACATTTACCTCAGATGTAAAATTAGATGGATGAATAAGGAGGATTAAAAGCGCGAGTCATCCCAGGTTTAGAAAAAATACACTGCGCAACACCTATAGTACGTTAAAATTCTCTGCATCCTCAGAACAAAGCACATGGATATTTTCCACAGTCGTCCTTTTTAACTTCCAGATTACAAGGAGATTTCAGAGTTTTAAAAATTGAGCATCTCAAAGATAAATGTGATTCCCTACGTAGTTTGAAAATAATATCTGAGCAGGTATTTATGAATTTATTTAGGATCTGCACACCCTTGGAGGGCATTGCTAGTTAGAAGTTAGATGTATAGTGAATAGAGAGTAAATTAGTAAAACCGAAAGTTATTAGTTGAAAAAAATCAGCAAATGTGATTAACCTCTAGATTATCTAACACAACAAAAAAGACATAATAACACAAATTATGAATTTCAGGGATGGAGAATAAAACATTAGTACAGATTGTACAGTCATTAAAAGGATAATAAAGTTTACTACAACTTTATGCCAATAAATTTGACAACTAAGATAAAATGGACAGATTTCCTGACAGACACAAATTACCAAAATTGGCAAAAGAGCAAATATAAAATACGTAAGTTGAATTATAATTAAATATCCCAACACTAAGTGCAGTGTGGCATCCTAGATTGGATTCTAGAAGACATTAGTGGAAAAACAGGTGAAATTTATATAAATTCTGGAGTTTAGTTAGTAGTATTTGACCAGTGTTAACCTCTTAGCAGCATACCATGGCTATATAATAGGAACATTACAGAAAACTGTGTCAAAGGCACATAAAAGCTCTCTTGTACTATATTTGCAAATTTTCAATTTTTAAAATTTCAAAAATAAAAATTTTATTTAAAACCAGCAACAACATGAATAAAACCCAATAGTTTTACAAATTATTTTACCAAACATTCAAGAAACAAATAATAGCAATGCTACATGCAAACTCTTCCAAAAAAATTGAAGAGGAAGAAAATTTTCCAAAAATTGATTTATTAAACTAGCACTTCTATGATACTAAAACCATAGAAAGACATTTTAAGAAAAAGAAACAAAACTTCAGAACAATATCCCTCTTGAATATGGATGCAAGTTCTTAATAATACCATAGATAGAATATAACAATATATGAAAATGATAATAGATCATAACCAAGTACATCTATATTGCACATAGATAGCTGGTTTAATATTAAAAAACAAAATTAATTTACCATATTAATAGAAAAAAAGAAAACCATGTCATTTCAATTAATGTATCAAAAAATTGACAAAATTTAATACAGAATCATAATGTAATTTCAACTAAAAAAGGAACTTCAATCTGTTAAGTGGCATCTAGGTAAAGGCATTCTTAATGGTGAAATACTGCATTCTTTCCCCCTAGAATGAGGGAAGGCAAGGAAGGATACCTGCTCTCATCCTTCTCTTCAACATTTCACTAAAAGTAGTAGCCAATGCAATAAGGCAAGAAAAAGAAGGTACACAGACTGGAAAATAAGAAATGTGTGTGTGTGTGTGTGTGTGTGAGAGTGTGTGTGTGTGTGTGTGAGAGAGAGAGAGAGAGAGTATTTTGTTTTACTTCACACTGCAATCGTTGCTCCTTATCTATGAGGCTTACATTCCAAGATCCCCAGTGGATTCATAAAACCAGATAGTACTAAGTTGTATTTATACAATGCTTTTTCCTATACATAAATACCTTTAATAAAGTTTAATGTATAGGCACAATAAAAGAATAATAACAGTTAATAATGAAATAAGGAAGCATAAAATACATAGTAAAAAGTTATGTGAATGATGTCTGTCTCATAATATCTTGTTGTACTGTATTCACATTTCTTCTTGTGATGATTTGAGATAATACAGTGCCTTTGTTATGAGATGAAGTAAGGTGAGTGACGAGGGTACTGGTACATAGTATTACCATGTAAGGGTCACTTGAACGCACAGAAGTATTGCAACAGTCAATCTGATAACCAAGATGGCTAGTAAGAGGTTATTGGTGGGTATAGCAGGAATACACCAGACAAAGATGATTCATAACCCACAGAGAGCAGAATGGTTTGAAATTTTATCATGCTACTCATAATGGTGCACAATTTAATACTTTTGAATTATTTATTTCTAAAGTTTTCCATTTAATATTTTTGGACTGCAGTTACCTGCAGGTAAGTGAAAGTGTAGAAAGCAAAATCATGGATGGGGTTGGGGATACTGTAGATTTCCTAGAACACTGAGTGAAAGAAACGGGAAAAATTTGACCTGTCCTGTTAGAAAACAAATTACAGCAGTGCACATACCTGTAATCCCAGCAATTCAGGAGGCTCAGGCAGGAAGATTGCATGTTTGAGTCCAGCCTGAGCAACTTAGACCTAACTCAAAATAAAAAGTTAAAAATGGCTGCATCTGTATCTCAGTTGTAATGGCTTTGGGTTCTATTTACATTACTGCAAAAGAAAAAAAAGGAACAAAATTAAAAAGAGACCAAAAAACAAAAACTATTTTGGGAATTTAGAAGATTTGTAAGTGACAAGATTCACTTGAACATAAGTTCAGCAAAGGATTTTCTAGAGTGGAGTTATTTTATCCCTAGAAGTATTTGCATAAAATGTGATCATGGGTATAAAAAGTTATTTAAAAAAAGTACAGAAAAACTGCTATGCCACACAGAAAATCAATTACATTTTATACTAGCAACTAACAATTGGTAATTGATCTTAAAATACATCATCATTTAAAATAGAACCCAAAACTATGAGGCACTAAGGGTTAATTTTAACAAAACCTGTAAATTGAAAGCTACGAAATATTACCAAGAGAAATTAAATGAAACAAGGAAGTTGTGAAATGCACTGTGCTAATGGATCAGAACACTCAATATTCTTGAAGTCAGTTTTTCCAAAATGACCTATATTCTCAATGCAGTTCCAGTCTTTCTTTTTTTCCTGTTTCTAAGCGAAAGCATGCAGTATTCAAATTAAAATTAAAATACAAATGAAAAGGAACTAAAACAACCAAACTTACTTTGCAAATGAAGAACAAAGATGATCTATGCTACCTGATTTCAAAACTTCTATTAAGTTGAAGTAATCAAAACACTATGATATTGGCATAAGAGTAAGAAACACGCTGGATAGTTCAGAGATGAATTTTTAAATTCATGATCAATTTTTTTTGATGAGGTGACCAAGGTAATTCAATGAGGAAAGGATAGTCTTTTCAACATATTGTTCTGAAAAAACTGGACAGTGTTAGAAGGGAACAAAACTAATTCTGACCCTTACCCCTCTCCATGCAAAACAAATACCTAGAAATAGATCTAGACCTGAATGCAAAAACAAAAATTCATAAACTTCCTAAACGACAGCATAGAAGAAAGTATCTGCCCCTGAGTAGGTAAAGATTGACAACATAAGACAAAAACGTACATGGCCACAAAAGGAATGTGGACTTGCATTCAGTGTACATAGAGAACTCTTAATCCCAATAATAATAAGACAGTTAAAGAAAAAAGCAAAATACTTAACTTCCTTCACAAAAGATGATAGAGGAGAAACCAAAGCCCATGAAGTGTTTCTCAAAAACAGAGGTCATTAGGAAAATGTAAATTTAAATCACAGTGAAATATCACACACCTCTAACATCAAAAAATAGCTAAAATTAAAGATTCACTGTACCAAGTATTGACAAGAATGTGGAGCAGCTGGCATTTTTATATATAGCCACTGGGGACATCAAATGACACAATGACTTTGGAAAATGACTTAACAATTTTTTACAAAGTTCAGGGGCATTTAGCACTCAACTCAGCCAACTCATCCCTGAGTGTCCATGAGTGATGAAACATGTCCATGCCAAAACTTATACATCAACATTCATGACAGCAGGTCCCAAACAGGAGGCTACCTAAATTTCCATCATCAGAAGAATGGATAAGTAAATTATGGAATACCCACAGAAGAGCAACCTACTCAGCAGTAAAGGGGTGAATGACTGATAAGACTCAACAATCTGTACGGGTTCTTAAAAAACTGTCCTCAGTGAAAGTAGCTGAGCTCAGAGAGTACAGGTTTATGGTTATATGCATGTGAAATCCCAATCAATCCATATGTATAGAAGGTGCATTAGGCTGGATTGAACGTAACAGGGCAAATAGTACATTTTGGGGGTGATGGAAATTGTGTGTGTTCAAAATGGCGTTAAAACACTGATGAACATTCAGATCATCTCCATTTCTTGGCTTTTGTGGAAAATGAACAATGCAATGAGCTTTAGAGTGCAGCTATCTCTACAAGTTGCTGATTCCATTTGCTTTTGG